AAAGGAATATAGTATAGCCTCGAGAGCCATTAATGATTTGGAATAATTACTTGATGTGATTAGGCGAGGCTAGGTCGTTGTTGCAAGATTCAGAGATATCGAGTACATGAGACACTAGACACCATACGAGGTGAGTCTTCTCACTATACTGTACCTAGAAGGGTACCTATGTGTGACTGGAAGGTCTAGTATGCTATAAGATATATGCACTATATGTTTAGTTGCCTGTTTTGTATGCGTTATGTATCCTATGCTTGATATGGGCCGGAAGGCATTATGTTATGGGCCGGAAGGCATTATGATGTAGACCGGAAGGTCAAGGAGTTATAGACCGGAAGGTCGACACGGGTAGGACCGGAAGGTTTACCAGATCGGGACGGAAGTCCCCTGAGACACATGGATTGGAAGGTCATGGCCTCGAAGGACATATGTATGTAAGTGGTATATTGGGGAACTCACTAAGCATTTATTCTTACAGTTGTTGTGTTATGTGTTTCAGGTACTAGCGAGGACCATGGGAAGGCGCCGGCATGACTCGTACACACACACGCAGGCGGATTAGGATATATTTGATCTTGGGATTTGACATGTTTTGTATTATGACTACGTTACATAGGATTTTTATGGTTATTTTTGAATAAAATTATGTTTTAAAGAAATGAAAAATTGTTTTGAAAAACTACGTTGTTACAGACACTACCTATCATTATCTCCAGTAGGTTGTCTAAAAAGGAAGAAAATACTTGGTGAATTTGATGAAAGAGTATAAAAAGGCTATTGGGTTGATGATTGCCGACATAAAGGGGTTAAGTCCCTCTTTATGCTTGCATAAGATTCTCATGGAGGAAGACTTAAAACCAACCTGAGAGGCACAGAGAAGATTGAATCCCCTGATGATACAGGTAGTAAGGAAAGAAATCATGAAGCTTTTGGATGCAGGTATGATCTAACCTATCTCTGATAGCAAATAGGTGAGCCCTGTTCAGGTAGTCCTGAAAAAGGTTTGGGTCACAGTTGTCAAAAATGATGAGGGAGAATTGGTGCCAACCCGTGTTCAAAATGGGCGGCGAGTTGGTATTGACTATAGGAAGTTGAATGCTTCAACAAGAAAGGACCATTTCCCCTACCATTTATTGACCAAATGTTAGAGAGATTGACGGGTAAATCCTACTATTGCTGTTTAGATGGTTTCTCGGGCTTTCACCAAATTTTGGTAACCTCGGAAGATCAAGAGAAAATCACCTTCATTTGTCCCTTCGGAACATTTGCTTATAGGCGCATGCCTTTTGGTATATGCAATGCACCCGCAACATTTTAGAGATGCATGGTGAGCATTTTTCTAAATATGTTGAAAACATCATCGAAGTTTTCATGGATGATTTCACAGTCTATGGAAACTCCTTTGATGAATGTTTGAGCAATCTAACAAAAATTCTCCGAAGGTGCATTGACACAGATCTTGTGCTTACCTATGAAAAATTCCATTGCATGGTGGACAAAGGATTGATCTTAGGTCATATTTTTCCCGAAAAATGCTTGGAAGTTGACAAAGACAAGATAAATATCATCAAAAGTCTTCCTTACCCGACAAATGTTCGGCAAGTTCACTCGTTTCTTAGTCATGTAGGTTTCTAACGACTGTTTATCAAAGATTTTTTAAATATCATGGTGCCGATGTGTCAACTACTCCAAAAAGATGTTGAATTTGAGTTAACTCAACCATGCAAGGATGCTTTTGATTGTTTAAAGGATTTACTCACCTCCTCTCCAATAATCCAACCACCTAATTGGGATCTCCCATTTGAGATCATGTGTGGCGTGAGCAACATGGCTGTAGGGGCAGTATTGGGTTAAAAGGTGGATCGAGTACATCATGTCATCTACCATGCATCAAAAACCCTTGATAGTGCATAGAGAAACTACATCACAACAGAAAAAGAGTTGCTTGCTATTGTTTTTGCACTAGAAAAGTTTCGACAATACCTTTTTGGAACTAAAGTGATTATATATTCGGACCATGCAGCCATAAAGCACTTACTTACCAAGAAAGATTCAAAGTCGAGATTAATACGGTGGATGCTGCTTTTGCAAGAGTTCGATATTGAGATCGAAGATAAAAGTAGGAAGGAGAACCTGGTCGCCGATCATTTGAGTTGAATAGTTCAACCCGAAGATGCGACTTACATCCCTGACACATTCCCAGACGAGCACTTGTTTGCTATCCAAACACCACCATGGTATGCGGATATTGTCAATTATTTGGTCACAAATCAATTTCCCTCGGAGACTACACGTTGGCAAATGGACAAAATCAAGAAGGAGGTTAAGCGGTATGTATGGGATGAGCCTTACCTTTAGAAGTACTATGCAGACCAAATGATATGAAGGTGTGTTGAGCAAAAAGAGGTACAATCTATCCTTAACTTTTATCATTCCTATGCTTGTGGAGGTCATTTTGGACCCCAAAGGATAGTTAGAAAAGTCTTAGATAGTAGATTCCATTGGCCTACCATTTTTCACGACTCTTATGTGTTATGTGCACATTTTGATAAGTGCCAAAGATCCGGGTCCTTAAGCTCTAGGAATCAAATTCCCCTTACTACCATTTTAGTATGTGAGATCTTTGATGTATGGGGTATTGACTTTATGGGACCATTTTCACCCTCTTTTGGTTGTTCATATATCTTGTTGGCAGTTGACTATGTGTCCAAATGGGTGGAGACCAAAGCCAACCGTACTAATGATTCCAAAGTTGTGGTAGATTTTCTTAAGGCACATATTTTCTCTCGGTTTGGTACTCCAAAGGCTCTCATAAGTGATCGTGGGACTCATTTTTGCAACCGGATGCTTGAAACTATTCTGAAGAAATATGGGGTGACTAATAAAATCTCAACAGCCTATCACCCCCAAACCAATGGGCAAGCAGTGGTTTCAAATAAGCAAATCAAAAGCATTTTGGAGAAAATAGTCAATCTAAACCACAAGGACTCGAGTATAAGGTTGGGTGATGCTTTATGGGCATACCGCACTGCTTTCAAAATCCCCATTGGTATGTTCCCATACCGGCTTGTATTTGGAAAACCGTGTCGCCTTCCGGTTGAGCTCGAACACAAAGCTTTTTGGATTGTAAATAAATTCAAATTGAATGAAGATAAGGCTGGAAACAAAAGGAAGCTAGATATTCAAGAGTTAGAGGAGATCAGAGCTGATCCATATGAAAGTGACAAGATTTATAATGAGAGGACAAGGGTGTATCATGACAAAATGATCTCTCAGAAGACTTTTGCACAACGAAAAAAAGTTTCTTTAATAATAGAGGTTCAAGTTTATTTCATGGAAGTTAACATCAAGATGGGCTCGTCTTTTCATGGTCACAAAGGTATTAGACCATGGTGTGGTGCAAATCACAAGCCAACAAAGTGAAAAAACATTCAAAGCCAATGGACATCGATTGAAGCCATTTTACGAAGGATTCGATGTAAAGGATGAAGATATAGAAGTGGTTGGGAACCCCAAGTACCAAGATTGAAGCATATTTGAGGGCCATGTCGAGCCAACGACTTAAAACAAGGGTGGCTAACCGGGAGGCAACCCAGGGGTATTTCAGTCTTTTTCTTTAAAAACATTTCCATTTCTCTTAATTTTTTTGCTTTTTATGTTCCAAATGCATTTAAACATGTTTTTAAATCACCAAAGATCTCGGGATGCAAAACCATTTCGTTTGAATGAGAGGGATTGTTTTTTTTTTTTTTTGCGTTCAAAAAGTGGGAAGTGGCAAACAGAGTCGTACACAGCCTGTGTCAAATTTGCCTTATAATGCACATGGGTCGTGTTCATGAGAAGTTAACAAATTTTTTGGAGTTAGAGACGTACACGGCCTGTGTCCAATTTTCCTTATAATGAACACCGATCGTGTTCATGTGAGGCTAATACTTTCGGAGTCAAAGAGGTACACGACTCGTGTTCATTTGGCCTTATACTGAACACGGGTCGTGTTCTGCCATTCACATCAAATATTTCACCCAACACGAGCCATGTTCATTTGCACTATATCAACACGGGCCATGTTCGCGCATCAGACAACGTGGGTTTTTAAGTTTAAAATCTGGTTTTTCACTTCATTTACCCACAAACACTTCCCAAAACAGCCCCTTTCACCCAAGAAACCCCCAAGGTCCGATTTTTTACTTGCATCCCTTGATTTTTCCATGATTTTGGCTTGAATCTTTAAAAAGGTTTGAATTTCATCTTCTCCACTTCATCTCGTACATTTCACACACCAAATTCTTACACTTTCATGGTGGATTTGGGGGGGGGGGTTTACAAACCCTAGGTCCAAATTTTTTTAAAGATTTTGTGCTTAAATCTTCATGTAGGTAAGCTTGGGGAGGTTGAAAAAGAACTTTCTCACAAACAACAACGCATATCCACTCATAATCCGGTACAATCTCTCCAATTCTTCACTTGTGGTTTTTGTGTTCTTAAGGTCAAATTGCATGTATTTGTGGTTATTTTGGACTTGACAATAACTTGAAAATCATTCAAACTGATTTTCCCACGAATTTGTAGTGACCAAACTCGAGTTGACTACTTTTGACTCGTTGACCGATTGAGACTTTTTCCCAACAACCATTTCACATAAGTAAGTCGAACATTCTAAAATACCTAGACACACCAAGTTTTCGGCCCGCCGTCGTAGGTCCCCATCGCCTCCTCCTAGGCCCCTATCACCTCCACCCAATCTGGCACATGGTGGACTGGTTTGTTCCAGGCCAATTCAAGTTGCCAAACTTGAGGCCTTTCTCCAGCGCACTCATACCATTCATAAATTTGCGCATGTGCTATCTCTCTGTGAGTTTCACATCTATAAAGTCTACACTTTGTTCTGGAACATTGGATAACAAAGGTTGTTGAAGGTCCACGAGCTCAGTTACAAAGTCTTGACAACCGAGTTCTCATCTTCAGTCTATTTGGACCATGGTGTCCTGCATTTCCGGCTTATGAACCAAGATCATGCTTTGTCCTTAGACCAAATCAATGCCATAGTTGGGGCCCCCACAGAAAACACCTTTGGCCCCAATGACCAAATCCCACGATATAGTGATCTTACATGGTGGACTGACCATACGCATCAACAACCCTATGTCTCAAGTTCTTCTAAGGGCTCATATCTCATCCACCTTATGATGAAAGTAGCCCACATGATTATTGCTTTGCTTGTCATCCCTAGAGAACAAAGAAGCACCATTAGCACTCTTGAGCTCAAAATACTCTATGCAATGGCTCTCTTGGACGATAACCTCATTCCTCACTATGGATCACTCCTTTGCAACAAGCTCACCTGCCTTAGCACATCATGGTCCGGAAAAATCTATTGTGGAGGTATTGTCAGTTTGTTTGCTAAAAGTGCTCCAGTCCGGGCCCCATTTCCTGGAATTCACCAACCTTTACCCGACGACCCCTACCTTACCATGGTAGTACTCGAGAGCATAAGGATGTTTCGATGGAGGATAGGAGCCACAATTGGACCGTGGGCCAAAACCACGACCCAAGACTCCTCATCACTCTAGAAAACCGGAACATCCTTGCCCTCAGTCGGCCTACTAACTTCACTGATTGACAAATCACGCCATATCTTTTTCCCGTCTCCTTCTCCGAGGAGGAAGATGAAGAAGGTGGAGAAAGTGATGAGGATTATGAGAGTGACGGGGCGGCACCACAAAATTCTCCTCCCATGGGTGGTGTCAGCTCATCCCATCATGCTGGACAACCATCATATCACCAGCAATATATGGATCAATTCCAGTCGATCCATACCAGCCTTGACACTTACTATCAAGATGTCATGAACCTAACCCATAGTTTTTCCGCCTTCTCCACTCAATATGCTCGGGATCAAGAGCATCAGCCCAAGCATGAGGAGGACTTTTGGGTTTGGACCCATAATCCCAACTACTATCCTCCTCCTCCTCTGCAATATGTTGTTTTGCCCTCTTCGAGCATCGGGGACGGTGATTATCTTTCAGCTTGGAGAGGGGTAGAGTTGTACACTAGGTTCATTCGTCCATTATATTCATATTGTAGGTTCATTCGTGCATTATATTCATATTCATGCATAAAATAATAATAATAATAATAATAATAATAATAATAATAATAATAATAAAAATGAATTATAAAAAATTAATATATATATATATATATATATATATATATATATTCTTTAGCACCTGCATTTTTAAATATAAAACCCAAAAATATTTTTCCTCTTTTCTTTAATTTCAAAGTTTTTGCATCCTATTTTAACATAATAATAATAATAATAATAATAATAATAATAATAATAATAATAATAATAATAATAATAATAATAATAATAATAATAATAGGAGATGATGACACTCTTTACATACAATAGCTCCATGAAGTGGGAAAACAATAAATCAAATGAAAAACAAAATACCCAAGGCGACCGGATAGTTACCAGAAGTGTAGAATCAACTGTCATAACTAGGGGACCCAAACACCGTAGTTCGAGATCCCAGCCATAGATAATAATAAAAAATGGCATACCGAAATGTTTTTGTGGGCGTTAATAACAGCTTTAGGATGATTTTCTTCTAAATGTTTAAAAAGAATCTTTATCGACAACTCTGGACCCACAGAACACGGACTTATTTGTTGACATGCGTTACCCTTGCGGTAACAGAGAGCTTAAGTATCAGATCCACACAGTCAAGAAAGAAGAATAGGTATAACTGTCATATCCAGTACCCAAATCAAAATTTTCAAGCACTTAACCAAAGAAACTTTCAGAAATCCAAAAGTTGTTTGAAGAATTCAAAGCTCAAAATGAAGATACAAATCCAAGTTCAATCAAAATCAAAAGTCATCTCAAAGTTAAATCTGGTGAATGAAGAAATGTGTGATATGATACTTGTGACTCTCAAAAAAGCGAAAGCATAGGAGCTGGACCCCTTCGGGTGGGCTCACTGTTTCAACGAAAGCTGATTCGCCATGATGGGTTCTTAAGGATGCGTCGATTCTCATTCTTGACCATCTAGTCTTAAGGACATGAGATCCCGAACTGTGTTATTTTTGCTCGCAAAATCTAATTAAGGTTTAAAGTTTAATAAAACTATGGTTTGGTTATTGGATTACACCATTCCGTGGTCTTCCTCACTTTAGGAGTCTGTAATATGTGGAAGGTAGCAGGATGGTCGCCTAGGTATTAATGATTGGAGCCCCATTGATATAAAGTTTGATCGTATATGTCCATATTTATGAAAATAAATAAAAAGATTACTTGTGTTTTAAAATTTTCTTTGGTTTATTTTTGTTCTTTAAGTATCTTTTGTACATATGTTTCCTTTTCATGGTTTTCATTGCATGCATTCATTATTAGCTTTTAGGATATTTCTATCCCCATTTGCTCTATGTTTCTTTTTTCCATCTAGAAACTGTCTTGTTTGTGCGGTTCTTGTTCTTTCTTGAGGACAAGAAATGTCTAAGCTTGGGGATATTTGTTAGGTGCAATTTGTGCACCTTTTGCACAGATTTTAGTCCCTTTTCATGCGTCTATTTAGTATAATTGTTCTTCCTTTTTCTTGGATTTCATCATATCCATGTTAGTCTCTAGAAAAACCTTATTTGCACACTTCCATGTCTTTTTCAAGTAAACCGGAGGTTGGGACGTGCTTTGGGAGGTGTCGGGATGCATTGGTGAAGATTTCGTGATAATCGGGCGAAGAGCGGAAAAGCTGAAAAATGAAGTTTGGAATTGGAGTTAGAGGAGTACACGGCCCGTGTTGGATTTACACTACAAGAGGAACACGGGTCGTGTTGACCAGAAAAGCGGTATGTTGACTACACTGAACACGACCCGTGTAGATTTGTTCTATAATGAACACGGGCCGTGTTCAACCCAAAAAACTGCCTTTTGACAGTTTTTCCTATTTTTCATATTACAGGAATTGGGTCATTTTTGGAGAGATACATGAAACCAGAGCACCATTGGTGAGGGAATTTCGAAGGTTTTTTTAAGGATTTGATCATTTAGCATTTGGAAACATTATTTCTCTAATTTGTAAGTTGTAATTGAACATCATTTCCATCTTTACAAATTGTGAATTTGTTATAGCCATGTGTGGCTAGAACCCTAGTTTCTCAAACTTCATGTTTTAACTTCTTGGTTGTGATTTCAATCATATGACTTGATGTTCGATTTTAATTTCTATCGAGTGAAATTGATTTTGCTACAGTTGAATGTTTGATTCTAATTGTGATTCTTATTGGCGATTTTGAATTACGGTTAGGTCTTTAAAGTTATTCATTTTGCAAAATACGTAATTGTTTTGTGAATTGGACTAAGTAACAAGCATTAAATTGATTCTCATTGAATGAATTTAGTGTAAATTATTTCACACACTTTTACACTCCCGAGCTTGTGAGGAGTATTGGGTGTTGTTGGGAACATTCACACAAAGCTTAATGCAATCTTTTAATCTAATTCTAAGAGCTTGTTTAGATTAGGTTAGTAAGGTTAGGGTTAATCAAAGAGCTTGTTTTGGTTAATTAATGTAGTGAATGGGGAGTGTTAAAGCTTGTTAACACTTCCAAGTACCAATTTAGATGGAATTGAGCGAATATCATGTTATCTTGGAATCGTATTGCTACGTTGTCATACATATAGTTAGAGTCCTTACAAATTCTGAATTTAATTCACTCGTTTAGTTGATTACTTGTGCCTTTAATTGATTTTTTAATCATTGCATTCTAAAACCCCCTTTTTAGTGTTGGTGAGCATAGTACCTTATGTAAAGAGGTATGGACTGATTATCCTGTGTCTCTGTGGATCGACCCTACTTTCTTTGTACTACCTTTTAGTGCAATATAGTTAGATTCTTTTGAAGTATATCGTACCCATTTATTTTTTGGGTTTGACATGCCTAACAATATTCTATTATAAAACTTAGTGTTTATGTTATTCTATTTTGAATTCTACATACATCTTAGTATTTTTATTGTTATTCTGTTATGAATTGTTTCATACAACTTATTCTTTAAGTTTTTGTTTTTTATATTTATAGGTTAAAAGGAACTCAAAGAAAGAAAAAATAATGAAGGCCAATAAAGAAACATAATTAACTTTTTTTTTCTTTAATTTGTATGTATACTTTATTTTTGTATAAGTTTATATTTTTATGTATGTTAATATTTTATTATGACTTTTGCCAATATAAAATTTTCTTTATATCATTACTCCATAAAGAATTCGTTATGTTGTTAACAAATTTTTTATGTACATTTTATTAGGAATATGCATAGTTTGATTAGAATTTATCAAGTGTACAATATATTTCATGATGAATATTAACTTGAAATTTAGGTTATAACATGAAATTTATATATTCAGAATTTTAAAATTTTTGAAATTTAAAATCTGATATTTTAATTTTCGAAAATTTTAGAATCCTTTAAATTTCTCTTATTTCTATAATTATCTAAAAATACAATTACTACTTTACACTTCCACATTATTAATCCAATGTTTAATAATAGCTTTTACTAATTACCAAAAATAATTTAACTAAAGAAATTAGTTGAGAATCGTTTTCACGTTCTTACTTCATTTTGTGTTTTTTATTTGAATCATCCCCTATATATATATATATATATATATATATATATATATATATATATATATATATATATATATATATATATATATATATATATATATATAGGGTAAAGTGAATATACCTAACAACCTTATATAAGCTTAGGTACCTAAACTCATCAAACTACATCATTTTGCATTAAATTTTCATTGCAATCATCCAAGGTTCTTAAATTTCATCCCTAAACTTGATTTACTTCAAAAAAATTTGAAAATTTATCATTATATTTCTTCTACATCTTTTCATTTGTAGCGGTAGGATATGAAGCCCATTAGGTGGTATTCGATAAAAAGATGTGATGTAAAAGAAATATATTGAAAAAAATCCAAAGATTTTGGAAGTAATCAAGTTATGGGGTTGAAGTTTAGGAACCTTAGGTAATTACAATGTAAATATGATACAAACCGATGTAGTATTATGGAGTTAGGTACGTAAGCATATATAAGGTTGTTAAGTATATTCACTTTACCCATATATATATATATATATATATATATATATATATATATATATATATATATATATATATATATATATATATATATATATATATATATAAGTTTATACGTAAACATAAATATTTTAAGAAAATGTTATTAAAAATAAATTTAATAACATGTTATTAAAAATGATATCAACACATCATTTATGTCACTAACAAAACTGTTTCATCATAGTAAATTGATTTTGTTGACAGGATTGGATGAGATACTTGAGATGAGCAAACAAGTTGGAATGCCTATATTACATCTACTTCACCAGTAGTTCCAAAGGTAATTTCTACGTAATTTAAAACATTATGGTTATCATTTATTTTTCTACATAATTATATTTTAAATAAAAAAAATTACGAAGGGGATGATTTGGTAATTAGTAGGTGCAAATGTTGGTGCTCTTGTAGTTGACGAAATTCTAGATGCAAATTATTATGACTCCAGATCAAGACTTTGATTTTAAGGAATACATATTTTAATTTTTTGATGGATGAAAGATAAGGAACATTAAGGTGGTACAGAATCAATAATTTCGAAATGAAAATCTTTTATTGTATTTTTTCAATTATATCGTTGTGTGTTTATTTCCTTTTCTATTAAGGCGTTATAGTTAAAAAATTGTACCTATTTACAACATTGTACTTTCACACTTTGTTAATGCAGAATTTTATGACA